CCCCACCCCCTGCTGAGAAGTCCACAAAAAAAGATGGAGGAGGGGTTTGCAGATCACTGGGAGGAGCCACGGGGGGATCTTCACAACAGATTTGTTTTTCTCCTTCTCCTCAGGAGCTCCAAGTCGGACGTCTCCGGAAATGACGAGAAAGGGATCCCGTCCAATACAGCGGCTATCCAGGTGACCGCGGGGGGGGTCCAAGGACCTGGAAGGAGAGAGGTGAGAGGATGAGACACCAGGAGGAGGAGACGACAGACGGACAACGGGAAGAGGAGACGACAGACGGACAACGGGAAGAGGAGACGACAGACGGACAACGGGAAGAGGAGACGACAGACGGACAACGGGAAGAGGAGACGACAGACGGACAACGGGAAGAGGAGACGACAGACGGACAACGGGAAGAGGAGATGACAGACGGACAACGGGAAGAAGAGACGACAGACGGACAACGGGAAGAGGAGACGACAGACGGACAACGGGAGTGACATTGACCAGTGTGAAGAGACCTTAGATGGACAATGGGAAGGAGAAATAAGAAATGTATGGACAGACAACAGGAAGGAGGTGAACCAGTGTGACCAGGAGATCATAGATGGACAATGGGAAGGAGGTTCACCCGTATGACGGAAAGGTGAGAGATAGACACTGGGAAGAGGTTTTTTATCAGGGTGAAGAGGAGATGATGGACGGACAATAGGAAGCTGAGATGGCAGAGGGACACTGGGAAGAGGAGATGATGGATGGACAATGGGAAGAGGAGATGATGGATGGACAATGGGAACAGGAGATGATGGACGGCCAATGGGAACAGGAGATGATGGACGGCCAATGGGAACAGGAGATGATGGACGGCCAATGGGAACAGGAGATGATGGACGGCCAATGGGAACAGGAGATGATGGACGGCCAATGGGAACAGGAGATGATGGACGGCCAATGGGAACAGGAGATGATGGACGGCCAATGGGAAGAGGAGATGATGGACGGACGGCCAATGGGAAGAGGAGATGATGGACGGACGGACAATGGGAAGAGGAGATGATGGACGGCCAATGGGAAGAGGAGATGATGGACGGCCAATGGGAAGAGGAGATGATGGACGGCCAATGGGAAGAGGAGATGATGGACGGCCAATGGGAAGAGGAGATGATGGACGGAC